CTGCAAATTTAAGTAATTTATTGAGTATCCCTTCATCTATCTCATTAATGTAAATCAAAAAGAGCAAGGGTCCTAAGACTGAGCCCTGAAATATCACACGTGTGACATTATTCCAGTTTGACTGAACTCCATTTGTAACAACCCTCTGCTTTCTTCCATCCAGTCACTCTTCTATCCAATTTGCTAACTTATCCTCCCACATCTGTAGTGCTAATTTTTTTACAAGCCTTTTATGTGGCACCTTATGAAATGCTTTCTGGAAATCCAGATACACCAAATCTACACTCTTACCCTCATCTACATAAGCAGTAACCTTTTTCAAAGAATGTTAATAGATTTGTAACGCAAGATTTTCCCTTAATGAAACCATGTTGACTATCCAATACATTTCTAAAATTTGTTAAACGACTTTGCAAAGCATCTGTTAATAAACTTCCCAAACTTTTTCCCACAACTGATGTAAGACTAATGGGTCTATAATTACTGGGACAATTTTTTTCACCTCCCTTGAAAATAATAGTTACATTAGCTAACTTCCAATCCACTTGTACCTGCCCATTATTCAAGGACTGACAAAAAATAGTAGCGAGTGGCTCACATATCCAATCTTTAACCTCCTTCAAAACCCTTGGGGAAATATTATCTGACCCAGGAGCCTCATCATTTTTTAAACTTTCCAAATTTTTCTTAACCTTTAATATAATTGATTACTCATACTGTATGTGTTGGGTATCAGAGAATATATGATTTTGTTCTAAATAAGTGTTAAGAAGCCCCCCAGTGGCACAGCGGTATGTCTGCGGACTTGCAATGCTATAAACCGGGTTTCGATACCCGTAGTGGGCAGAGCACAGATAGCCCATTGTGTAGCTTTGTGCATAACTACAATCAAAGTGTTAAGAAACTAGAATAATTCTTTTTATTTTTTCTCATCTAGAAATATTGTACTGTTTGGTTAATATCCACACAGGAAGAAACTTTTTCTTTAACAGAGAATTGAAAAGCTAGACAACTAATTATCATCTGTATTTGTTAATGTCATGTAATTCAATCATTAACTTCTGTGACAGAAACTAATTTGAATTGAATAAACATCTTTAACATTTGACCAACCTTGGCATGAAATGTACCATAGCTTTTAGCAAATAACTCATTAGGCCTGATATTTGCTAGACTGCAGATGTTTTTTCTTGTTGTTTTTTTTCATTTCAGATTTCAATTCAAAACTGTAAATGTGTACTAATTAAAAATAATGTGGAAAGAAACATTGAAGTTTTAGGATGATTTTTATTATGAATATTAATTTGTTATGTTGGTTCTGTTATTTCACCAACTTCTGACATAACGTTATTGTGATTAAAATACTAAATATGTTAAAAAGTTCGAATATTTTAAATAAGAGAATATATGACATAAGGGAACTGAATTTGAGGTGACTTTGTAGTCTGAAATGACACAAACTTTATATTTAATTCCATAACAGGTTTATGTTAAGGAAACAAGTATTATTGTAGTCAGTTTCATAACAAATATTGAAAAACTTTGAGAGAAGTCCTAAAGTACAGAGACTGTAAACCTACATGCCAAGAATAGAAATTATAGTTTCAGTTATCAAAATAATGAAGTTAATGTTGAGATTGTAGACTATTTTTATATCATTATTATACATGTAGCTTTAATAACCGAAAAAAGTTATGTTCAATCTCATCACAGCAGTATGCTGTAAGACACCATTTTAGTTAACTCAGAATTGTTGTTAATTAATGACTGTTGTTCAAATATATATATATGCTGTGTATATGAATAAACACACACAATGCTTTTGATTTTCTAGAGTTACATTTTTGAACATCTTGGTTTGCAAAGACATCTTGTAAAATGTTTGGAACAGTTGAGTATTTCAATTTCTTTAAAATGTAATTTTTATTCTAAACTTCTTATTTCTTTTTTAGGATGGGGAACCTGATAGCGATGATGAGAGTAAGTTTTTTTTATAATACATATTTTTCTTCTCAGAATACTATTAATAAGTATACCTTTAGACACTATATATTCCATCACTTGTACTTTTGTTGATTATTATTCATAGGTTTCTGAAGCTACTTATTAGTGAAATAAAAACTTTCAGTAAATGAAGCTTAAAATTCAAATCGATGAATTTTCAGGGAGAGAGAAAGTGGTAATCTAATCATATATATATATCTAACCTATGTAAAAGCCAGTGTGTGTTTGTCATGCTTGATTTCTCGAAATAGGAGGAGTCATAAAAGTCACAATGCATTTATCCAGATAGAATACTTTGATTGATGTCTGCCCATTATGATTTTAGTGATGGGGTGCAAGGTGGGTGGGGGTGTTGGTATAATAAGCCTCAAGTAAAGACCTGGTGTGGGATAACCTAGCCTAGAGCCAAGTGCATAAAATTTATCATGGAAGTAAAAATATTGATTCTATTTTAAACTTAAATCGTTTCTGAATTAAGCTATTTTCTGTTGTATCACCAGTGTTTTTAATAAAAAATAAACCTCTTTAATCAATGGAGACTAAATTAAGAAATCAGTAAACATTTTTAAAATTTTGTTGACTATACATTTCATTATATATACTTTCAGTACATAGACTAACAATAATATTAGGTTATACTTTTGTTGCTGAGCAACATGACATAAAAGCAATTTTTTGGAACATAGTGTTACCAAAATGCACTGGCGTTTTTATATATTAGAAGTTGTTAATCTAACTGATTTTCACAAATAATTCTATGAATGCTCCATAAATTTATTTCATGAATGATATTAATTTTGATTGGCTCACAAAGGAATTTACCAAAGTCTGACTGCCTCGACTGCACTTTTCTGCTTCTTTGTTGGTCAAGCTTGATTTTCCAAAATTGACTTATTTCATTTAACAATGAAACGTGAGGTTAAGGTATGCTAGGGGTGGGAGTGGTAGTACTTGTGTGCACATGCACACACAAAATTAAGGTATACCTAAAGTGTATGTAATGAAATACAGCTTCATGCTCAGAATTCAAATTTTTATTTCAGTAGTCAAAAAAAAATCTTTTACAACAATAACATATGTTTTTCAACTTTTTTGCTCCCGATTCTCGTACTGTATAAATAATGAAAAAAATCTAGTTTATGAACAATATTTTATTAGAAAGTTGGGTTTCAGAAGCTATTATCAGGTTTGATTTATTTGGATAAATTATAGTCTCCTTTTTCTCTGTATAATGCCATTTGAATGGTTGTACACAGCTATACACCTCTTGTAACAACATAAGTGTATGACTTTTTTCTTTTTTTGACATGTCTCCATGTTCTTGGATTACATATGTTGAAAATATTTTGCTTGTAATAGATAATATTAGAGTTAGACAGCTAACCATCCTTTTTATCTGTTAATGCAAGGTTTTTCTCAGTTTAGTTTATCTTTATTTTTTATAATAAATTGAAATTCAAGACATAATAATCTTATGTTTGATTAGGGCTCTACCATGAACATCACAAGTAGAGTTGTAAACATCTTTTGATTAAATTGGGATTCAAGCTATGTTTGTTTGGTATGAACTTACTGACAACTCTGCAGGAAACCTAAATGCTTATTGGCAAATTAATAATTACTAAAAAGTTTTCCAGTAAGTTTACCTTTTATAAAGAGCCAAAATGTCTTTATTACATTATGAATTTGTGTGAATATTCTCAAGCTGAAAGATGTTTGCATATGTTTATCCTTTTGTATTTCACAGGCTAAGGGGATCCATGGATGCTATAAACTTCTTTGAACAGGTTTTTCAGAAGTTATTAAAATACCAGAATTTTTAGCTTTTTTATTTTGAGCACTAAGTTCAAAGATATAATTCATGCAAAATAATGTTAATATTAAATCCTTAAAAGAAGTGTAGAAGTTGAACATTCAACAGTCGTTACTTTTCTAATTACACAGGCCTCCGATGGTTTTAGTGTCTTGAAATTTTTACATGTTTACGGTAATTCCTGTATGTTGAATCCAAAAATGATATCCATTTTTCTCCATAAAGTACAGATTTTTCACAAAATGTCATAAT